GGAACCCCGGTTTGGGAACACCAGGAATGGGCCAGCAGCAAAGGTGGGACCAGCCTGGTGTCACCTGGAAGCATCTCCCAGGGGATCAGCAAAGGAGTTAATTAATGAGTGTGTTAATTGGGGGATGTGTTTACTAATAAAGGTAATAAATAATAAAGATACTAAATGATATCTTTGTGGATCAGGGTTTGGGAACACTGGGAATGGGCCAGCAGCAAAGGTGGGACCAGCCTGGTGTCACCTGGAACCACCAGGGGTTCAGCAAAGGTGTTAATTAATCAGTGTGGTAATTGGGGGATGTGTTAATTAATAAATATAATAAAGATATAAAATGATATCTTTGTGGATCAGGGTTTGGGAACACCGGGAACGGGCCAGCAGCAAAGGTGGGACCAGCCTGGTGTCACCTGGAAGCATCTCCCAGGGGATAAGCAAAAGTGTTAATTAATAAATACATTCATTAGCGAATGTTTTAATTAATAGAGACAATAAATAATTAGGATATTAAATGATATCTTTGTGGGATCGGGGTGTGGGAATGGGCCAGCAGCTCCACGGGCCACGGGGCAGTCACGGATTTTAGGGAATCTGCTCCAGGGGCAGTCACGGATTTTAGGGAATCTGCTCCAGGGGCAGTCACGGATTTTAGGGAATCTACTCCATGGGGCAATCATGGATTTTAGGGAATCTGCTCCATGGAGCAATTACAGATTTCAGGGAATCTGCTCCAGGGGCAATCACGGATTTTAGGGAATCTACTGCATGGGGCAATCACGGATTTTAGGGAATCTGCTCCACGGAGCAACTACAGATTTCAGGGAATCTGTTCCATGGGGCAGTCACGGATTTTAGGGAANGGAACCCCGGTTTGGGAACACCAGGAATGGGCCAGCAGCAAAGGTGGGACCAGCCTGGTGTCACCTGGAAGCATCTCCCAGGGGATCAGCAAAGGAGTTAATTAATGAGTGTGTTAATTGGGGGATGTGTTTACTAATAAAGGTAATAAATAATAAAGATACTAAATGATATCTTTGTGGATCAGGGTTTGGGAACACTGGGAATGGGCCAGCAGCAAAGGTGGGACCAGCCTGGTGTCACCTGGAACCACCAGGGGTTCAGCAAAGGTGTTAATTAATCAGTGTGGTAATTGGGGGATGTGTTAATTAATAAATATAATAAAGATATAAAATGATATCTTTGTGGATCAAGGTTTGGGAACACCAGGAACGGGCCAGCAGCAAAGGTGGGAACAGCCTGGTGTCACCTGGAAGCATCTCCCAGGGGATCAGCAAAAGTGTTAATTAATAAATATATTCATTAGTGAATGTTTTAATTAATAGAGACAATAAATAATTAGGATATTAAATGATATCTTTGTGGGATCGGGGTGTGGGAATGGGCCAGCAGCTCCATGGGCCACGGGGCAATCACAGATTTTAGGGAATCTGCTCCAGGGGCAGTCACGGATTTTAGGGAATCTGCTCCAGGGGCAATCATGGATTTTAGGGAATCTGCTCCAGGGGCAATCACGGATTTTAGGGAATCTGCTCCACGGAGCAACTACAGATTTCAGGGAATCTGTTCCATGGGGCAGTCACGGATTTTAGGGAATCTGCTCCATGGGGCAATCACGGATTTTAGGGAATCTGCTCCATGGAGCAATTACAGATTTCAGGGAATCTGTTCCATGGGGTAACCACAGATTTTAGGGAATCTGCTCCACGGAGCAACTACAGATTTCAGGGAATCTGTTCCATGGGGCAACCACAGATTTTAGGGAATCTGCTGCCATTCCAGCTTGGAGCAAAGCCCCTCCCAGCCCTGTCCCGGGAATCCTAAGGCAGGAATTGCATGGATCCTCGCTGGATCCATCCAGCCCGGGATGAGCTTCCCAGCTGCCCGAGCACAGGAAACTTTTCCGGGCAATCAACTCCAGGCCGCTGCTCCCACAGGAAAAGCTCCCCCACGGCTCGGGAAGCTCGGGAAGGAAACATTCCCGGGATCGGCCCCATGGATGTGGGGGGATCTGGGGGGATTGGGGACGCTCAGCCTGCAGGAAGGGCTGGGAATTCCCGGTCTGGGAATGTGGGAAGGGCAGGAAGGCGTCCCGCTCTCCCGGCTTACCTCTGCTCCGTCAGGATCTCCAGGACGTTCTCTGCCAGCCAGATGTTCTTGGCAGTCACGTCCCCGCCTGGAAAAGAGCCAGGGAAAAGCAGCTGGAGGGAGCGGAGGGATTTGGGAGCGGGATTTGGGAGCGGGATGGTTGGGAAAACCATGGAAAATCAGGGAGAACCATGAAAATCCAGGGAGAACCAGGGAGAACCTGGGAAAACCAGGGAGAACCTGGGAAAACCTGGGAAAATCAGGGAGAACTAGGGAGAACCATGAAAATCCAGGGAAAACCAGGGAGAACCAGGAAGAACCTGGGAAAACCAGGAAAAAACAGGCAGAACCTGAGAGAACCTGGGAAAACCAGGGAGAACCTGGGAGAAAAACAGGAAGAACCTGGAAGATCCAGGGAAAATCAGGGAGAAGCAGGGTAAACCTGGGAGAACCTGGGAGAGCCAGCATTCCCAGCTCAGATCCTGAGCATTCCTGGCCCACATCCTGACGATTCCCAGCTCACATCCTGAGCATTCCCAGCAATTCCCAGATCCTGAACATTCCCAGCCCTNGCAATCACGGATTTTAGGGAATCTGCTCCACGGAGCAACTACAGATTTCAGGGAATCTGTTCCATGGGGCAGTCACGGATTTTAGGGAATCTGCTGCCATTCCAGCTTGGAGCAAAGCCCCTCCCAGCCCTGTCCCGGGAATCCTAAGGCAGGAATTGCGTGGATCCTCGCTGGATCCATCCAGCCCGGGATGAGCTCCCCAGCTGCCCGAGCACAGGAAACTTTTCCGGGCAATCAACTCCAGGCCGCTGCTCCCACAGGAAAAGGTCCCCCACGGCTCGGGAAGCTCGGGAAGGAAACATTCCCGGGATTGGCCCCATGGATGTGGGGGGATCTGGGGGGATTGGGGACGCTCAGCCTGCAGGAAGGGCTGGGAATTCCCGGTCTGGGAATGTGGGAAGGGCAGGAAGGCGTCCCGCTCCCGGCTTACCTCTGCTCCGTCAGGATCTCCAGGACGTTCTCTGCCAGCCAGATGTTCTTGGCAGTCACGTCCCCGCCTGGAAAAGAGCCAGGGAAAAGCAGCTGGAGGGAGCGGAGGGATTTGGGAGCTGGATTTGGGAGCGGGATGGTTGGGAAAACCATGGAAAATCAGGGAGAACCATGAAAATCCAGGGAGAACCAGGGAGAACCTGGGAAAACCAGGAAAAAACAGGCAGAACCTGAGAGAACCTGGGAAAACCAGAGAGAACCTGGGAGAAAAACAGGAAGAACCTGGAAGATCCAGGGAAAATCAGGGAGAAGCAGGGTAAACCTGGGAGAACCTGGGAGAGCCAGCATTCCCAGCTCAGATCCTGAGCATTCCTGGCCCACATCCTGACGATTCCCAGCTCACATCCTGAGCATTCCCAGCAATTCCCAGATCCTGAACATTCCCAGCCCTGATCCCAGCAATTCCCAGCCCTGATCCCAGCAATTCCCAGCCCTGATCCCAGCAATTCCCAGCTCAGATCCCAAGCATTCCTGGCCCACATCCTGACGATTCCCAGCTCACATCCTGAGCATTCCCAGCAATTCCCAGCTCAGATCCTGAACATTCCCAGCCCTGATCCCAGCAATTCCCGGCTCACATCCCGAACATTCCCAACATTCCCAGCAATTCCCGGCTCACATCCCGAACATTCCCAACATTCCCAGCAATTCCCGGCTCACCCGCGATCTGCTTCATGAAGGTCATGCAGACGCCGTCGGCTCCCAGCACGCCGCTCTTCACCAGCTCCCGCAGCAGCCACACCAGCTGCACACGGATCCGGGAGCGGGGTCGGGATTTTGGGAGCAGGATTGGGATTTTGGGAGTGGGGATTGGGATTTTGGGAGCAGGATTGGGATTTTGGGAGCAGGGTTGGGATTTTGGGAGCAGGGTTGGGATTTTGGGAGCAGGGGTTAGGATTTTGGGAGCGGGGATTGGGATTTTGGGAGCAGGGGTTAGGATTTTGGGAGCAGGATTGGGATTTTGGGAGCAGGATTGGGATTTTGGGAGCAGGGGTTGGGATTTTGGGAGCAGGGGTTGGGATTTTGGGAGCAGGGTTGGGATTTTGGGAGCAGGGTTGGGATTTTGGGAGCAGGGTTGGGATTTTGGGAGCAGGGTTGGGATTTTGGGAGCGGGGTTGGGATATCGGGAGCAGGATTGGGATTTTGGGAGCAGGATTGGGATTTTGGGAGCAGGATTGGGATTTTGGGAGCGGGGATTGGGATTTTGGGAGCAGGGTTGGGATTTTGGGAGCGGGGTTGGGATATCGGGAGCGGGGATTGGGATTTTGGGAGCAGGATTGGGATTTTGGGAGCGGGGATTGGGATTTTGGGAGCAGGGTTGGGATTTTGGGAGCAGGGGTTGGGATTTTGGGAGCAGGGTTGGGATATCGGGAGCAGGATTGGGATTTTGGGAGCGGGGATTGGGATTTTGGGAGCAGGATTGGGATTTTGGGAGCGGGGATTGGGATTTT